GAACTAGTACAAAGAATCAACAACTAAAAAAAAAAAAAAAAATCAACTGGGATCTCATGTTATTAAAAAGCTTCTGCACTGCAAGAGAAACCACCAACAGCTGAGACAACCTACAATGTGGGGAAATTTTTTTTTTCCAGCTGTTCCTCAGATGAAGGTCTACTATCTAGAATATATGAAGAACTCAAAAAGATGATTCCGTGCCAAATATAAAGACCCAATTCAAAAATGGGCATCTGAATTGGACAGACATTTGTCAGACAAGTAAAAGCAGCAAATAAATATAGGAAAAAATGTTCAACATCACTGGTCATTCGAGAGATGCAGGTGAAAATAACACTGAGATTCCACCTCACCCCAGAAAGAATGGTTGCTATTGAGAAATCAACCAATAACCAATGCTGTTGGGCTTGTGGGGAAAAAGGAGACCTTCTCCATTGTTGGTGGGAGTGCAGACTGGTGCAACCACTGGAAATCAATATGGAGATACCTCAAAGAACTAGGATTACAGGTTCTGTTTGACCCAGCTATCCCTCTTGCTGGGTATCTTTCCAAAAGAATTGAAAGAATCATATCACAGAGATATATGCACACCCATGTTTATAGCGGCACAGTTTGTAATAGCTAAAACTTGGAAACAGCCTAATTGCTCATCAACTGGAGACTGGATAAAGAAGATGTGGTTTTTCTGTAAAACAGAGTACTATTCAGCCATTAAGACTGAGAAACTAGAGTCATTTATAGCTAAGTGGATGCGCATTGAGACCATACTCAAATGAAATAGAACACACTTGAGTAAATACAAAATAATTTCTCTTCATGTGAAAAACTAAAAGTGTAAATAAGGTTCAAATTGTATAACTTATAATGTGAAATATGAAGAAATGGTCTAAAGGAGTAGGGGAAGTGGTAGGGGTAGGGGAAAGGAAAGAAGGGAAAAGAAAAAGAATAGGAGAAAATGAAAAAATGGAAACAAAGTCTTTGTAAATAGGGAAAAATGGAGGGGGTTGGAGGGAGGGCAGAGGGATGGGGAAAAAAATAACCAAGATATCTTATGTGAAGGTACAAGATCCCAATGATGTACTGTGTACCTAAAAAGTACCAACCAAGAAAGCAAAGACCTTTTTTTTTTTCTTAAAAAATTATCTTAGTACATGTTTGCAGCAGCGCAGTTTACAGCCATTTTGGGGAATGGACATGTGTCTACTACAGCTTGTTTCTTCTTTCAATCTAGTTCCCGTCTCCCTTCTCTAACTTCCCTATCCCAATTTTCATTCTTGTTGATACTAACCCCATGTCATGTTATGGTATATAATGTCTACATTCATTGAGGTTATTAGGTTCCTGTACATGGCTTATCTTCTTATTTCCTCTATTCCTCCTCTTCACCTCTCACCCTTGTTCCCTTGGGCTCCTTCCCTATTGCAAGAGATCCATCCCCTTGTCCCCTTCTATCCATCCATTCTTCTCTTTGTACTTCATTCAAATGAGAGATATCATATACTATTTAAGCTTGTGTGTCTGATTTATTTCACGCAACATTGTATTTTCCAGGTGCATCCATTTTCCTACAAATATCTCAAAATGTGTCATTCTTTATAGCTGAGTAATAGTCTATTATATATAGATACATTTTCTTAAAACAGATACAGGGATCAATGGAACAGAACAGAAGATACAGAAACATCCCCAGACACATTCAGCTGTTTGGTCTTTGACAAAGGGGCCAAAAGCATTTGTTAGAGGATAGACAGCCTAGTCAGCAAATGGTGCTGGGGAAACTGGATATCTGAGTGTAGAAGATTGAAACTGCTCCCAAATCTCTCACCATGTACTAAATTAAAATCAAAATGGGTCAAAAATCTAAACATTCGCCCAGAAACATTAAACCTACTGGAAGATAAAATAGGTAAACACTTGACACAGGTATAGGAAAGGATTTTCTTAAAAAAAAAAAAAAAAAAACCTAAGCCGGGCATGTTTGCACATGCCTGTAATCCCAGCATTGGGAGGCTGAGGCAGGAGGATCGCTGTGAGTTCGAGACCAACCTGGGCTACGTAGTGAGTTCCAGGTCAGTCTCAACTACATAGTGAGACCCTGTCTCAAAAACCAAAAGAAAAAAAAAACACATAAGAATACTGTAACAGCAAGGATTAACAAACGGGATTGTGTAAGACTAACAAGCTTCTGTACAGCAAAAGTATCGACTAGTAGAATGAAGAGACAACCTACAGAAGGGGGAAAATTTTTCTGGCAGCTACTCCTTTGACAGAACTAATATCTAGAATATATGAAAAACTCAAGTCAAATCACCTAAAATTAAAAACTCAGTCAAGAAATGAGCATGTGAAATCAACAGATACTTCACAGAGGAAGAAGTACAAATAGTCAACAAGAACAGAAATGCTCAACATGTCTGGCCTTTACAGAAATGCAAATTAAAAAAAGGCCAAGAGTGCATCTTACTCTGGAAAGAGTGCCAATCATTAAGAAATCAAATAAGAAATGCTGGTGAGGCTTTGGTGAAAAGGGAACCCTCCCTCCCTGTTGATGGGAATGCACACTAGTACAGCCATTGCGGCAATCAGTATGGAGATTTCTCAGAGAACTGAAATTAGAAATTCCATTTGACTCGGCGATTCCCCTGCTAGGTATCTTCCCCGAAGAGTTTAAGACATCGTACTGCTGCAGAACATGCATAGCAGCACAGACTGTAATAGCTAAATCCTGGAAGCAGCTTGCATACCCATCAACAGATGACTGGAGAAGGCAAAGGGCTTTTATTGAGGAAACTTACTTATATTCATCTAGCAAGGACTCCTAATCCCATGTAGAGGTGGGTACGTTTCTGAATAGACTCAGTTCAAGGTCATATACCACATGTTCAAGATGGCAGATGCATTCACCTCTCTGCAGAATTTAGTGTTACAAGAAGCAATGCTTATACTAGGTGACCTGAAAAGAATGAGTTAGTGCTTTAGCTCAAAAAATAAACCAATTTTGAAAGTATGTTAACAGTTATTTAAGGGGCCGCAGCTTTTTCCCCTAAAAATAGAGGTGCTTCCCCCAAAAGTGCCTGCCTAGTGCCTAATAGTTGATCAAAAGAATATATCTTACGAGGAAATTCAGTTTGTTTTGAGGAGTCTTTCCTTAGTAGTAGATAATTAGCTTTTCAGGTATCTGAGTCTTCAATGCACATGTAGATCCCCTGAGAGTCTTGTTGAAATGCAAATTCTTATTTTGTAAGACTAGGGTGGGACCCATAATTCTGTATATTTCTAAAAAGGCTGCTAGTGCTGCTAATCTGTAATCTACACTTCAAGCAACAAGAGCCTCAGTGACAGGTTATCAACATTAGGTTTATCCAGTGAGCTGTCTAAAAAGGCTGTACTAATCAGAATTTCCAAAGACAAGTATCTAGTTGTCTCTACTTGTAAATAAATCAAAGTCTGTCTTTCCTGAGATACAGTTTTACTGTGCGGTCCGGGCTGGCCCTGATCTTTCAGTCCTTCTGCCTCAGTCTCCTCAGTAGTTGGCTTTACAGGGATGTGCCACCACCCCAGCTTCCTGGAGATTCTTAAGTGACAAGAGCAATACTACAATATGAATGGTGATGGGGTTTAGGGCGTGCTATCCCCAAAATGACAGCTTGCCATTTGAAATAACAGCAGAGGCAGGAAAGTCTCTCTCACATTCCCCTCACTTTTCTCTCTTCAAGCAGGCTGTTTTAGTCATTTTGTTTTTATTAGTTCGTGGTTGCAGTACATAATGATTCCATTTATTGTGGGGAGTTGGTACATGTATTTGTACGTGTATTCTGCACATCTTAATTCTTTTTTTTTTTTTTTTTTTTTTTTTTTTGAGATGGGGTCTCACTATGTAATTGAGACTGGCCTGGAACTCACTATGTAGCTCAGGCTGGGCTCGAACTCACAGCGATCCTCCTGCCTCAGCCTCCCGAG